CGTCAAATATCCTACTCTGGACGTATAATTTTAGTGTTTCGTTTTTTTTGATTAAAAATCGTTAATATTAACAACAAAATTACTTGAAAATAAAGTGCAATTTCGGGCGGAAAATACGCCCGTAGCGAGAAGGTTAATACAATATTACTGTTAACATGATCAAATATATATAAATAATCGTACATTACAATTATATATACATTTTCTTATTATACATAGAAAATAATGTTAATGCAACTGGTTTTCTTAATAATATCTTACTATTTATCTATCTATCTATCTATCTATCTATCTATCTATCTATCTATCTCTCTTTATCAAACATTTCTAAGGAGAATAGTAAAGTCGATTAATTTGTAAGCCCTAATGGTTATCTCACTCATGATCGGCCATGAACGATGTCGTAGTTGTAACAGAATTCGAATACGTTTGAAACAGATCTAACGAATGTGTGTGTGTGTGTGTGTGTGTCCGTGTGTATGAGAGAGATAGATAGATAGAGAAAGTGGGGATTCGCAAAGGACATTGGAGATTGTATGTGAGAGGTAAAGGGTTGAGTAAAAGGGGGGGGGTTTGGTAGGGTAGGGAGGATGTTCCCGTATCTTGTCGTAAGGACAGAACCGAAAGGAAGGAGTTTGTAACTAGTTTCTACGTCAGACCATAGTGCATGTCCTCCAGGACGAGGAACAATGCCGATACACGTACACATACATCTTCTACCACCAATACATGTCTTCTATCTCTGTCTCGTGAAGAGAGAGAGAGAGAGAGAGGCCTGCATGTTCGGACCGCGGAGTTTACGACGATATCCTCAAGTTAACCGAAGTAAAGTTTTACAACAATGGGAAAAGGGACAAGGAGTATCTTTTGGATGACGAGGGAGAGAAGAGAGGATAGGAAATACTATATGGTGAAAGTGGTGTTTGAAAGAAAGTAGTAGTAGTAGTAGTAGTAAAGGAAAGGATAAGTGATAAGTTAAGTATCGACTATTTGATGCTAGCAAATGTTGTTGTGTTGTTGACACGATGATTAATTTTTTAGTTTTTTTTTTTTTTTAGTTTTTGTTACACGGTTATAGTTGTACTTTGAAAAAAATTATAAGAAGAGGATGGATATATGTATAAGATAATTTTGGATGAAGGATTTAACATTTAACATATGAAAGATAAAAGTGTATTTTAAATCGTTAACGTAGACATTTGATAATATTTTTGAAAATCAAATTTAAAAATAAAGATATGAAAATATTCTAATTAAAAAAAAAAAAAAAATACACAAAATAATAGGCGCAAATTTCAATAATATAATTATGAATTACAAATGATACGAGAAATGATTTTAAATATTAATTTTATTGAAGATGTTATTTTTGTTTAAAAAATTGTCAGATGATAATTTATGAAAAACAGGTGGAAGAAAAAACTCTTTCGATCTGTCGAAAGGAAAGAAATATGAAAGATTTAAAATAAAAGTAGAAGAAGAAGAAGAAGAAGAAGAAGAAGAAGAAGAAGAAGAAGAAGAAGAAAAGGTAGTCATGTATATATAACTCGTTTCGAAAAGTGAAACTTCCTCGAGCAGAATCAACGATTCGGATTCTCTAGATAACTTTGAACGATCTTATTCTCGTGCATCGTGCCGACAACGAACTCGTCTATTTCCGAACTCTGTTCGGGGATATCTTCGCTAAGGAAAATGACGCCTGGTAAGTAGAACATTCGTGAGAGAGTTAGGTTTGAGGGTGAAATGCTAAGAGTTTCTTGATAAGTAAAAAGTTTTGGTGACTTTCGACTTTTCTCCCTTCATTTCTTTTTTTTCCCCCCTTTTACTCTTTTTATTCTCATTTTTTTCTCGAATAAGAAAAGAAAAAAATAAATTATACACGTTAAGTTACTTTGATAGACATTTAATAAACGAAACGGCAAATAAGCAAACAAATAAACAAACTAACAAGTATACAACAGGTGGACAGACAGGTAGACGACACACAAATTGAGTTAACTTCGAAACGACTAACAAAACGTGATATTTAGTATTGGAAAAGTGGCGAAATGTTTTACGAATCAGTTTACATGATAATGTTGAAAAAAAAAAAAAAAGAAAAAAACATTAATAACTCGTACAAAATTGTGAATAATAATAAAGGACGATGTTAAGATTCGCGTAATAAATATATGAAAAAGAAAAAAAAAAGACAATTTCAAATTGGATTACATAAATTCGAAATAATTTGAGATGCAATAGTAGTGTTCGGTGCAGCGTGAAAATTGAAAAATTTCCTTTTTGTTCAACTTTAAGATGATTCAGAATTTTTATCATTTCACTGAGATATGTAAAACGTAATGATGGTGGTAGTGATGGTCGAATAAGAATTAAGAGTTTCAGTAAGAAAAAGCGGATATAATGTTTTACGAAATGAGATTCTTTTTAGATATGTTGAAATTGCAAGTATGAAATAATACAAAGAGGGAATGCCAGAGATGACATACTTTTTTATTGCTCACTTTGAGAGTAAGCTAAAAATTGCTATGTCTTATGTAAGAAAACACAATGGTAGCGGTTGATGGTGGTGGTGATAGTGGTGATGGTGGTAGTGGTAATGATGGAGGTTTAGTGTTGGAAGGGAATGTCTTTCAGTCCCATCGGATTCCATTATTTCATTCTGATGTTCTCGAGCGGGTCGGTGCAACCTGACGAATGAAATACCAGACCGAGAAAAATGAATAATGGCGTTTCCAACAAGATAAGAAGCCAGTCGAAGTGGATAATTCGTTTTTCGCGCCGTTTCTTCCCTTTTTCCTATTCTTTTTACTTTTCGCAATAATATCGTTTTGAGCGATAACAACAATTAATTTGACTAATACTCTTATTACTCATTTGGATTAATCAAGAAACGAATAAATGAAGAATAGTCGTCTCACGAAAATCGAACGAATGAACGAGTGAATAAATTAGAGTGATATAAGTGAACAAGAAGAGATGAAGCTTTCTCTCTCGATTTTCTACTTGAAATTTCGATGTTCATTGGAAGAGGCTTTGTACGAGAAGGTTTCATCGCTAATACAATACAAATAGTATAACTAATTCGACGAATAAAGCAGGATTCGGTTTCTCAACGACTATTAGTAGTAGCGTAAGTTTCTCATTTTAATCCTTACTCATTTGTGTTAAGAGATGAGCGTAACAAAACTTTCCTATCATCATCATCATCATCATCATCATCATCGTTGTTACCTCTATTCGCTTTATTAGTTCTGACATAGTGTATTATTATCTCAAAATATATTACTATCGTTGAAATAAGAGTAGGGGGATAGAAGAGTATAATTATATTAAATAGTTACGAACAAATAACAAAATTAAAAAATAATTAATGTCTCACGAAGAATCAATTCTTTTTATATCTTCAATATAAATATTTTCCCATGACCATAAACTATACTTCGAGTGTGCTTGCTCGTAACAGAAAAAATACTTAGGTTAAAGAAAAAAAAAAAAAAAAGAAAAAGAAAAATATACGGATATCATGATGAGTAATAACGTAACCGTATAAGCATGCGTATCATCAAAACGATTGGTTCGTGATATAACGGCTCGCAAGTATCACGATGAATCTTCCTTTCCTCTATCTAATAGCCGTACAAGATTTATGTGGGAATCTTCGCGATATGGTTACCGGCAATAAAGATAACCGAGTGAAGCGAAGTAACAACCATGGTGTGTTACCAGATGTCGGATGTTCCACGCTATTATTACAATGAGAAATTGGTACTGACCTACTCCATGATACATTATATATTTTTCATATGACGTCAATTATTAAAAGTAGAGTTATGCTATTACATTGATAAGTAGTAGTATATATATATATACTAGGTCAAGTAATTATGAATTTAAATTTGTAAATGAACAATGATATATTGATAACGATTCGTATGTAATTTTTATCCATGAAACTGTCGAGTAAATTCATAATGCAATTCGTATAAATTAAAATGATAATACTTAATTGAACAAATATCGTTTTAATTTAAACTATTTCAATCAAGTTATGAACCGTGTTTGTTTGGATTAAAAAAAGCTTTAAAGATCGCATGAATAATTTTATAAGCATATGAAAAGACGACAAGAACCCATCATCCATCCATCCATCACAATAGATTAGTCTTTCCTATCGTAGAACGTTGATGATCAAATAATAATAAGTTTCGGATTATTGAAAGGGATCCTTGAAACTATATATACCTATAATTATTAAAGTGGTTTAAGTTGGTCAAAATTAAAAACACAACGCAACATTATTTTAAAATTAAATTAATTTAATATAATTCCAACGACACTGTACAAAAGTTAATTGTTTAGATTGCATTAGTTATTTCAATATTATATAAAATTCACTTAGACCACTTTCATAGTTATGGACACAAATAAAAATAAAAATAAATTATTATTCTTTATCACGACGTACGAATGTGTCCGAACTGTTGATAAAAACCAAAGTATAAGAAAATAGAGAAGAATGTTAAAAAAAAAAAAAAGATTAGAAACTAGAGAAGGGAAAAGATAGAAAGAGTGGGGGTTTGGGGTGGGGGGTGTTAGACGTTGGGACGCTTGCGCGTGAGGAAAGGACGATTCCGTCAGACGGCGCCTCGACGCTAGAAGCGTCGGACGGACGACGGATCGTTCGCTCGTTCGAAGAGAGACACCAGTCAGCCTCCCACAGAGTGCCAGCTGGTTTTCCTCTTCTTCGTCTCCTCCTCTCCAACCTCACCTCCCTTTTTCCTCAACCTAAACCAACCAACCAACCAACCACCCTCAACCACCCACCTAACCACCTTCCTATCTATTCCCCTCCCCTTTTTCACTCTGTGTCGTTCATTTTACTCTCTCTCTCTCTCACACACACACGCACACACACAGTTGCTCCCCTCTTCCCTTTCGAACCCTTTCCGAACCTCCCTTCGCTTGCGAAAGGAACGAGAGGGCGCACATTTACGTACGTACGATCACACGCGCGCACAACTCCCACCATTACTACTATCACATCAACACTAACACTACCACTACCACCAACTCTTGCTGCTACTACCCCTTTTCGATATCCTTGCTACGTAGTATGAGAGAGAGAGAGAGAGAGAGAGAGAGAGAGAGAGAGAGAGAGAGAGAAAGCAACCAACCAACCAACCCCCAAACGAGACGCGAGAGGGAGTTCGAGTTCCTAGCTCCAGTTCCTCACGGTTGCAGTGCGTTCCCAAACACCCGTGAGACAACCTCGAACTGTCCCCCTACGTAAGAAACGTAACTAAACACACGCACGCACTCAATCACTCAATTCTCACTCATTCACACATTTCCCTTATTTAGTTTACTTTTAATTCGTTCACGAATTTTGTACGTTCACGTTACGTGCAGCAAGTGCAAAATAGTTCAGAGGAAAGTCTCAATTTTTTTTTCTTCTTCTTCTTCTTCATTTTTACGTCGTGTTCACGTCTTTGATTTCTTTCTTTTAAATTTTCAGGATGGTTAATATTTCATTTGATTGGATAATTTTATGTATGCTATGATTAAAAATTGAGATATTTAATCTATCATTTTTAATTAATCAATTATTTTTATTTATACGTGTGTGTGTGTGTGTGTGCCTCTCTCTCTCTTTCTCTCTCTCTTTCTTTTATGTTACTTTTTAAACCTATTTCGATTCCTATCATTTCTATCAAATCGAAACTCGTGCGTTTCTTCTTCAGTGTTCCCGAGTTAAGAAGCAACGATTCGTTCTGATTGTACAGAAAACACATAACACTGTTTACGTGGATAATTTGCCTGGTTAGAAGCAAAGAGAGAATACAAATTGTTCGTAAAATATAAAAAAAAAAAAAAAAAGAAAAAAAAAACCCCTATCGGAGTATAGAAAAAGAAAATTTATAATTAAACGAGAGTTGAGATCAAGTTTAGTTTAAAAGTGCGAGTAAATTGCGTTACTTGACATTAACGTATCCACCCACGCACGTAAGCACGCACGTACGCACGCACGCACGCACGCACGCGTTTGTCAGCATTGAAAAAAAAAAAAAGAAGTGACGTTACTTTGAAAGACAAGAAAATAAATTGAGATGGGGTAAGAGAGAAGGAAAGACATAAGAAAAGAATAGTGGAACAATAAACTGTGAATTTGGAGTAAATTTTCTTATGGTTGAAAGATCGTAGAAAACGAGGATTCGTTCGGTCATCGGTGTGGTATTGGTGGTAGTAGTGGTGGTGGTGGTGGTGGTGGTAGTGGTTGGTGGTGGTTCTGGTGGTTTCGATCATCGAAGGAAAAAAGAAAAAGAAATAAAATCAAAAGACGAATAAAAAGAGGAGGAAGATTGATAAGAAGAAAGAAAGCAAAAGAGAAAATAATAAAACGTAAGGAAAGATTGTTGACTGAAGATAAGTTAAAAAAAGTCATGCAACTTAAAAAGAAAGTGGTACGAAACGATGCAATTGGATGGAAGAAGAGGTAGCATAAAAAAAGAAGAAGAAGAAGAAGAAGAGGAATATCATCGTCATTGTGATCGAAAATTACTATATCGTTGAGAAGATTTTCTTCGATACGTGGGATCGACGAACTCGCTGTTGTGATTATTCCTACCGGTGTTGTTGGTGTTGGTGTGGAAGTGGTAATGGTGTAGGTGTTGCTTGTGAAAAACTTTTATTAAAAGGGATTGTAAAAGTACAATACGTGAGATTAGAGAGACGTAGAAAAAAAAAAAAAAAAAAAAAAAAAAACAATTAAGAAGATCTGTAAAATTCGATTTTCGAAATCTTCATTGCTAATCATCTGGTACACGTATAGTAGCTACATTCATAAACGTAATATAATACACACGTGCACTAAAAAAAAAAAAAAAAAAAAAAAAACCAACACGTAGAGTATAGAGAAAAGAAAAAGCAAGACGTTAGAAAAGAGAGAGAAAGAAAAAAACAAGAAAAATAAAAATAAAAAAATAAAAATAGGGGGAACGTTGCTCGTTACGAGGTAATGACTTCGTAACCACCGTGTAAATAGGTGTACATAGATAGATAAAAAGGAAAAAAAGAAAAAGAAAAAGAGAGGAAAAGGGTTCGACGAGATCCCACGCGATCGGTTGAGTTTGTTTATCGTAAAAGAGAGAGAGAGAGAGAGAGAGAGAAAGAGAGAATCACGTTGTAAAAGATATTATTACATTGTCGCGTGACCGCGTGTACGAAAGAAAGAAAGAAAGAGAGAGAGAGAGAGAGAGAGAGAGAGAGAGAGAATGAGAGTGGGTGTATAGAAGAAGAGAGAAAAGAAATCAAACAACTCTCTTCTCATTTCTATTTTTTTTTTCAATAAAACACTTGAAACAATCATTCAAATAGTAACTTGTCTAAAAAAAAAAAAAAAAAAAAAATAAACTCTCTCTCTCTCTTCACATATTTCCATTTTTCTATAACCCGTTTCCAATTAAAATCAATTTTTCCTTATATTCGATAGTCGTTAAATAATGATGATGATGATGATGATGATGATGATGATCTATATTTAATAAATAAGAACACCACTAATTAAATTAGTCATTTATTCAATGTGTACGTTTGTATTTAGATGAATATTACGCGTACGAGATTTAATACGTAAAAAGCGTAAAAACGAATATATATATTACGACGACGAATGTTGTTCTGCCGCCCGTCGAATTTCGACACCCTTCCCCCCTTCCTTCTCAAAGCCCTTTTATTCAAAAGATCGATCCGATCGCGGCTATTTAACGTGAAAATTATTCGACTTTTTCGCGTTGAAAATCTTATTGTGTGTGCATTTTTAATAAATAGCGCCCTTTAACGTTTGTGTGTGTGTGTGCGCGCATTCGCGCGCGACCAATATTAACATATATGTATACATATATATATATATATATATATATATACATATAGTGTACTTTTTCGGCGGTTTATAATCCTAAAACCCGCACAATCATTTTTGTTCTTTTTATTAAAAATTTCTTCTTAATCTTTCTTTTTACTTTTTTATATTATACATACATTTATATATACATACATATATGTATATGTATATATATATATATATAAATCTACGAAACGTTTATCTTCCAAATACGATTCGGAAAGCAGGTCGGAGCAGTACGGGTATCCAACGCTTAGGCTTTTAGTCCCGTTGCGATAATTAATTATTAACTCGCGGACGTCGTTAGTGCGAAATCAGCGTGTACGGGGGTTAATTTCGAAGGTCGGGACCTTTTAAACACGAAGGGACTAAGTACTTTTACGAGAGGAGAGAGATAGAAGGAACTTATAGGGTTCCGATAAGCAATCAAGCTTTCTTAAATTAACGAAGTATATTCTCTTTCTCTCTCTCTCTCTCTCCATTTCTCACACGAACACATAATCAAACACACACACATACTTTCTCTCACTCACTCTCTCTCTCTCTCTCTCTCTCTCTCGAATTCACTATTACCGTTCGTGTTTAAGACTCGTATACGAGATTAATTTAAAGGAAAAGTTAGAAAAAAGGGGGACCAATTTTCATCGCAAATTTTAATCTCTTTCTCTTTCTCTCTCTCTCTCTCTCTCTCTCTAACTCTCTTTTTCTCTCTCTTTCTATTTCTACAATGCGTTTAAACGCAAGAAAAGTTTAATCTTTCGCTTTTTCGATTAATCAATCCAAACCCCGAGCTGTTCGTAAATCTTTTTTTGATTTTTTCTAATTCTACTTTTTCTCACTTTCTATCTCTATCTCTCTCTCTATATCTTTTCTTCTATATCCTATATATATATGTATATATAAATACATTTGTTTTTTTTTTTGGTTGTTCATTCGTTCGTATTTAACACACTATCGTCGTGAGCCCAGTGAATTCAGGAGAGTCACGACGACTCACGCAAAGCAATAAATCAAGGGCCAATCTACGATTAAGACAACGACGAAGGAGGATGACGTAGAAAAACGAAGGGACACAAAAAAATAGGAAGAAAAAAAAAACAAAGAAGAAGAAGGAATATATATGTAGTAAGAAAAAAGGGAAGAGAAAAAACGAGGACATCTCGACGCCTTCTTCATCGAAGGCAATGGTTCGCGTCACCTAGCGTCACGTACCAGCCCCAGATATTAGCTTCAGAAAGAATGATCTACGTAATTTTTATGTAGACGAAACGATTCATAAGGTTTTATTAAATAAAAAAAAAAAAAGTTTATTATATATATATGTATATATACAAAAAGAGAGAGAAAGATAGTTTGAAGAGAAAGAAGATAAAACAGGATCCACTCTCGCTCTCTCTCTCTCTCTCTCATTTGTTACATAATAAATAATACTTACTCAGTGCATTCAGTTGACTTGAGAAAAATAAGTGTCGAGTAAAAAAGGGTGGAATTGATAAGGAGGAGAGGTGTGGGAGTGAGAAAAAGAAAAAAAAAGTTGGATAGTTTTTTTTTTTTTGATAAAAGAATGACATAATGCCGAAGCGGGCATGACGGCGCTGGCCTCGAGATGCGACGAGACCACCACACTCTTGTTGTTGTTGTTATTAGAACTGGCACCGAGTGCAAGGTGTCATCCAAGTTCCCCGATAGGGGCGACATCGGAAGAAACTTCCACGAGCGGCGATGGTACATCCTCGTCGACTTCTTCATCGTCAACTTCTTCATCGTCATCTTCTTCGTCATCCTCGTCCTCGTCTTCATCGTCAACATCTTCTTCTTCTTCTTCTTCTTCATCTTCAACATCTTCATCGTCTTCTTCCTCTTCTTCTTCTTCTTCATCGTCAAGAATTACGATTGCGAGTACATCATCGTCTTACGACGAAATTTTAACGTTATCAACGAGATAGCATTCGCAGAAGACGGCGTGGGTGAAAGAAGTTATGATCCCGCCAGTCTTCGGCAACATTATGTCTAACGAGGACGCCGTTAGCTCGGCAACGGCGTCAACGAGGAGCATATTCGAGGAGAACATGACGTGGTATAGTTCTACAACGGTTCCCGGGACAACAACTTCATCATTTTCTACGATAAACGTGGATAACGTGGAAGAAGAGGATAGAACGGAAATTAATTTAACAAGTCTTACCGATTTTGCCGTCGGTTGGACCAGCGATTGGAACAACGACACCACAGAAACTACTATTGAAGATAATAATAATAATAGTAGTAGTAGTAATAGTAGTAGAAGGAGGATTGGCGGAAAAATCGTGTCATCGGAAGAGAACGGTACTTTGAACGATCCGATTGAGAGGATCGGCGAACAGCCGAGAGGAGGAGGAGAAGGAGGAGGTGGAGGTGGAGGAGGAGGTGGAAGAGAAAATCCCCTCGGCTGTGGCTGCGACATAGAAGATTCTTCATTCATTTCAAGTATCTCAAATAGAAGTACGTTTGAGATCTTCACAGGTGGTTCCAGCCTTGGCGTCGATCTTCTATTTGGTATAACCTCAGACACGATGGAAGAAGACTTTGCCGATTCATACTCGAACGATTCCATATTTAACGGGAGTATGCAATATCCATTTAATAATAATAATAATAATAATGATAGCAACAACGAGACATTGATCGTTTACGGTGATAGTATGTATCCATCCGGATATACATTGCCGCATATCATTTTGGCATCTATCATTGCCACATTACTGATGATAATCATCGTAGTTGGTAATATGTTAGTGATAATAGCTATTGCTACGGAAAAGGCATTGAAAAATATTCAAAACTGGTTTATAGCCAGTTTAGCTGTTGCCGATTTTTTCTTGGGTCTCATTATAATGCCATTTTCATTAGCTAACGAGATTATGGGTTATTGGATTTTTGGGTATTGGTGGTGCGACATTTATTCGGCGATGGATGTACTACTTTGTACGGCTAGCATCATGAACCTATGCCTGATAAGTCTTGATAGGTTCTGGAGCATTACACAAGCTGTTGATTATCTGAAGAAAAGAACACCGGCCAGGGCGGCACTTATGATTGCCCTCGTCTGGCTATTATCCGCCCTTGTTTGTATACCCCCGTTGCTCGGTTGGAAAAGGCCATCCCCGGAGGAGGATTATCCAAAATGCAAGGTGAGTGTACATTTTTTTTATATCCAAGTAAAAGGATTAAAAGTTTATCTTCCTTTTTTATCATCAATTTTTACGCTTATCGCGTTTCTTATTATTCGATTCTAATGTAAATCAAATTGCACGATTATTTATTTTGTTTGTTCCAAATTCGAATAGCGAAATTAATAATCGTATGTATGTATATTTAACGAGGAAAGTAAAAGAAAAAAACAAGAAACAAATAATAAATAATTACGTAGGAAAATAATTCGAGATTTTATCGTATCGAATTTGTCGAATTACTGGCGCATAAATGGTGAAGTAAAAAGATTTCTATCGTAAAAAGAACCTTCTTCGAAAACGGGGTTTCAAGAATATTACTCGTTGATTGTTTAGTTTTGTTCGTCATGTTGGAAAACTATTTCAATATAGGACTACACGAGTCAGATTGATTTGTTAAAAGTACCATAAGTAAGTTCGTATAGTAAGGTTGATAAAAAAAATGTGTATTCTTTTTTTTAATTGAATCGATCGAATTCACATAGGTATAACGTCAACCATAATATATTAAACCATAAACTGACGTGACCGTTCATTCCTCTTTCACTTTGATATCACATTGAAATCTTGCACCTGGAAATGCATTAGCAACGTTATCTTAATCATGCAATTTTCGTATGGAAAAGTATTGCTCGATTAATTGCATTGATTATCGTTAAAATCTTATAATATAATTTCGATCGATATTTCTACATTATAAATTCATATTTGAAAAAGAAAAATAAAAAAGAAGAAGAAGAAGAAGAAGAGGAAGAGAAAAAAAAATAGAAAAACAATAACTTACCTTTATCCAATATTAATATCTTTGGAAACGATGGTATGTGTGTATGTATGTCTGTGTGTATATGATTATTAAAAATATTGGAAAGTATAAATCTAGTCAACTATTTTATTAATCAAGCAATCTCATCGCGTTAACATTATCAAATTAATTAAATATAAGTCGATGCATGCGATTATTCATATTTTATTTCATAGAAACACTCACGTTAAATTTCACACCTGCGAATATTCTCATCACGATAGAAGTAACCTTAACGATTTTGTTCGATATAAAAAAATGGGGAACCACGAATCGATATATTATTATTATCGGATCTTATAAAGTAATTGATTAACTTTAGAGAAAAATAAAAAGAAAAAGAAAAAAGGACGAACGTCACTAACTTTTATATGACGATGATGTTTATCATCGAATTAATAGAAAAAGGTAAAAAAAGAACCCCCCCCCTCCTCCCCAAAAAAATAAAAAAGTTATTTTCGTAAGTATGGAAAATAGTGTAGTTGAAAAACATGTTTTCTACGAGGTTGTTGATACTTGTCTGGAAAAAAAAAGTTTCTTTACGTGTTATGAACTATATCACCACGAATAGGTATCACAAAACGTAATCATGCAAGGTAAAAAAAAAAAATACATTTATGTATAATATATATATATATATATTTTACTATCGTAAAATATTCTCATTTCATGACTAATTCGTCAGCGTGACTGATATAAACCACGTTTGAAAGAGGTCTTTAAACTCTCGATAATGTTCAGACCAGATCGTAAAACGTTTTGCAAAGTTCTCTCATTCTATCTCTCTCTCTCTCTCTCTCTCTCTCTCTCTTTCTCTCGGTGACTTTCGTGACTCCTTTTACGAGCACCTTTACCACGGTCCTTTTTAATGCGATTAAATTCACAAGCTCCCGCAAGATGTTCTTACTACCAAAAGAGAGAGAGACAGAGAGAGAGAGAGAGAGAGAGAGAGAAAGAGAGAGATTGATCTTTTTAGTTTGAAAAGCCACGGGGTTTTATAGAGAAAAATATATAGATGAAATTTGTATTCGTTTAATTTATCCTTTTATATATATACATATAAATTTCTCTTATAACTTTGAAAACACGCACACTCACATACATCTGAGTTTTTCAAATAAATCGAATATATTTCTGTTAAAGTAATAGAGAGAAAGAGAGAGAGAGAGAGAAAGATGAGCAGAGTTAATCGAGTTTGCAACGAAACTTTCTACTACCCCGCTAGTAGAAGTTATCGTTGAAAGCATCTAATAAACGCGATTTTATATAATATAAATGGAATATCTCTTTCTCTCTCACATTAATGGTTAAATCTTCAAAAGAAGTATTACGACAAAAGTTAACATCAACTAGAGAGTCCTACCACCCTTTCCCCTTCCTTTCTGTCCCCTCCTATAAATAAATTTCCTTTTTTATTTTTTATATTTTGTTTAGATCCCTTGAAGAGGTTTTATCATCAACTGTAATTTTTTGTATTCTTATTTTAATTTTTACTTGGTCAGTTTCTTCTACTTTTTATAAATCGTGAAGAACGGGATTGATTCGAGAAGTTTTTGGTTTTTTTTTTTTTATTTATTTATTTGTGTATTTTCGTAAAGTAATCATTGCTTTTCGAAACGATGGGTGGATGAGTGGGTGGGTGGTTTGGATGGGGGTCGGCGACGAAATCTTTTAATAGGATTAAACTATAATACGATTGGTTCGTTGGTTCGTTAATTCCCAAAGGATGGAAGACTCACGAAGAACTTTGATCGTTCGTTTTGTTACAAAAGCCGATGACAAATTTTTTTTTTCTCGCAACAACGAAAAATGGTTTTTATAAACCGTGATATTTATTTTGTCACCCTTTTTTTCCCCAATCTTTTATTGTAAATAAGATGTATAAGTTTAAAATTAATTTTTTTTTCTTATTTAATATTTTTCGTAAAACGCAGATAAATGATCGATGTTCGTTTGAAAATTTTATAATATAATATATTATTTAAAAATTATATTCAATAATTATATTATTAATGTATTAATAAATTAAATAAATATATGAATATATAATATAATAGTATTGAATTATAAATTAATATATTAATAATATATTTTATATATTTATAAATAATATTATTAAGTATATTTGAACATATTTACATTAGAATTGTATAATGTATTTATTTCTACATTTTTCTTTAATTTTGACTTAGGACCACTTTTATAATTATGGGCACATGTGTGTACGATTTTTAGAAAAACACTCATTGCATACACGAATCAATTTTTCTTTTATCTTTCGTTTAACTATCTTCAATACCATATCCAACTTATCTATCAATCAGATGCATTCTCGTAACTATAAAAATAAACAAAAAAAAAGAAAATGAAGAATTTTTTTTAGGATCACATTTTTATCGAGATCTCATTTAAAACGAGAAACGATACTTAACCAGAGAAAAACGTAGTCAACCTTGACGAAAAGAATTTCGTCTTTCTATCTATCTATCTCTCTCTCTCTCTTTCTTTCTATCTAGCAGTCTGTGATTTTAGGAAAACGAATTAATGGTGTGCGACGAGAAAAAGTCGAGTATCGTCGTCGTACCACTACTATCATCAATTTTGGTCTTTGGTTTCGGGAAAAGCCGAGTTTTCTGATACAACCGCGCTATGCTACTACAATTTCTCTTTCTCTCTCTCTCTCTCTCTCTCACTCTCTTTCTCTCTCTCTCTCTCTCTCTCACTCTCTTTCTCTCTCTCTTCTAGTTTGACAAACGTTTCTCAGGATCTTATTGGATTTCTGCGAATGAGGGTGGGCTATCAATCTCCTCTTCGAAAAAGGAAACTCAACGAAAAAAAGACTAATCAACGAACGAGAAAATACGATTGTTACTTTATTATCCACCCCCCCCCCTACCTCCTCACCCCAAACCCCCTTTCATTTATTCCTTTTTTAGTTCGATTTGTTTCTTCGTCAAGTATAAAAAAAAGAAGAAAAAAAAGACAACGAGTTAAACTTTCTTAAGAACCATTTAATTAAAGGAGGAACCCCAACGTGAGTTTTTTTTAATTTTTTTTTTTTTTTTTTCTACGAAAAACGAAGAACCCTAAAAACTTTGATGTTCATTAAATCTCGTATTTCTCACTCGAACTCAACCCTCCAATCTTCCACTACCATCACCAACACTACTCCTTTAGCTCGTAATCAAGATTTTACTTAAGTAAGAAGTAAAATGTATTTTTCTTTCTTTCTTTTCTTTTTCCTTTCATATTATTTCATTCTTTTTTTTTTCTTCAATTCGTTTTTAATGAATTATACATCAGAAAGTGAGAGAGAGAGAGAGAGAGAGAGAGAGAGAGAGAGAGAGAAAGAGAGAGAGGCAGAGAAGATAGGAAACGGCCAACTGTTGCTGCCTCGAAAATGTTCGAAAGAGCCTCATATCCTTTATTTCAATCCTATTTTCGATAGCTTACATCTGTTGCTTACACTTACAACTAATGTTCTGAGGAAAATTCTAATTTGTTGTTTTGTATATAAATAATAAATTCTAATAGTTATAGAGTATAAGGGATCATTTGATTCATATGCAAAATATTGCAAGATATTTAATATAATATTTAATATAATAAAATATATTATATATTATATAATATATATATATTATATAATAATATATATTTATATATTATATATAGATATAACATTAATAATTATATAATTTACAATATTTTTTCTATATATTTTTATTTATATTTTTTATTAAATATATTTACAATACAATATATATTTATAATATTAATATTAAAATAATATTAATAATTATATTATATATAATAAAAAATATTTATTATAATAATTGCAAAATAATTAATATAATATATGTAATATAATATAGGATAAAAAAATGTTCTTGTATTGTATTTTTTATTTAAAAAAAAAATATAATATTTCTCATGTATTATTTTCAATCGAATAGAATATAAAATTAATTGGAAAAGGGTTATAATATTGTAATGAGATTAAAACAACATTTTGTTTCTCATTAAAATATTGCTATTACTACGAAAGAGTATTTTTATCGTACAGATCATTTTTCTCTTTCTTTTTTGTTTTTTTTTTTTTTTCTTTGATTTTAACTTTGACTTGGATCTCGAATTCTTATATATCCAGTATATTTTC